AATTCATTATTGTTCTTCAGCAGATTGATATATAATGTAAATGTTCACATAATATGTATATAATTATCGAATTTCAATGACACAATGTATTTCTTCATCATTTAAAACTATAACGTGACTAAATTAAAGATTTGTGTTTTCAACTAGGATTACAAAATCAACTATCAATTCTGAAATAATTACAGCTATTTTATTTTTTGTGTGTTCTAGAAGATTCTGAAAATCCGCTACATGTTATTCATTTATATGCTTAATACTCAGCTTTGCCTCGTATCTTTATATCTGATAAAACACTGCTCACAATTCTTATACACTAACATATTAGGAAATTTCATTATTTCACAAGCATGAGTCAGCATCGTACTGAAAAATATTAGCAATCAGTATTGAAAGAAATCTAAATATGTGTTTTATGTTCAATTTATAGACATACATAATGAAAAGCTGCCAAATGAAATGCCTTCAAATTGATATAGCACTTGTAAGTACATGCTATTGTATGTCTCGCACTTAATACATGCAATCAAAATTCGTCTTCAAGCAGTATATGCTTTGACTCATTTGATACAATGCCCATGATGCCTTAATTTCTACTATTATTCTGTCTTTATTTACAGTCCATCCATATAGTCACTAGAGATCTGTAGATTTGATTACATTTACGAGTACAACATTCATCATTTGCGTGTTAGTTGCGTCATATTTTTCTATCGTAACTGCCTCCTAGTGATTCAAAATATGACGTGACTGCATGCCTGCATGCAAATTGTGCATTTTGTACTTGTAATTAACTTACTCTATAATGTAGTCAAAAAGGAAACTTATTTCGATAATCAATTATGTGTGTATTTTTTTTTAATCATTTCTTTCTTTGACAAGATCATTTAAGGAAAAACGATTGACCTTTTCAATAAAAACGACGCCATCTTAAGTCGCAACGGTTTTCTCATCAGTTTTGTCTCGATAAATAAAATTGCAGTCGTAAACGAATTAGCGTTTATAGCGAATATTTGGAATATTTGTGGTTTTTGACACAAGACATACTTATTTTCAACAATTTTAAAACTTACATTCAAGGCAGGTTTACGCAATATATACACTAAGTACAAGGCAGCATTACATTGCAGTCATATGAGCCGGTGATACGAGCCCGCATACCTATAGACGTCTTGGATGTAGTGGAGATCTTCATCCTGCGCCTGCCGGATTAAATTCGAATGTATTTAACAGTACTTACTATAATTAGCACTTGCAAACACATATATGCTTCATTCAGGTTTTTTGCAATTTCTTTTTTTTCTTGCTTTTGTTAAGAAGTCATTTCTTGAAGAAGGCATTTGATATACGTACTTGTTTATAAAACCAAAACAAAACAAGTGAAAAATCGTCAATAAAACAGCCCACTTTTTCAACATTTTGTTATGGCAAGAAAGCTGGCATATCAATCTGGAAATTTTCATTTTTCTTGCCTATAGTTTCAGTCTGCAAACATCTCAATAACCGGAGAAGCTGAATTCATTTTGTTAACCAGACAAAAATCATTTGTGCAATTGCTACGAAAGGACATCATAGGTAAGCGACATAGCTCGATAATTACCGCTTCACTTGAGCAGGCCCAAAATCTCTATTTACAAAATTGTTTGAATATAAATCTTTCTCAAAGAGTTTCCTCTTAATAGTATTATTTTAATGTTAATATATTTTTAAACTTCCATTACGCTAGATATTCCGTACCATGAAAAATTGAAGTTGCAAACCAGCCTTAAGTTCAGTTATTTCAAGTTTAGGAAATCTCAGACTAACTTGATGGATTGCTTTCTTAAGATGGCGTCGATTTCGGCTAGAGTTGGATGCTCGCAAGAAAGTTCAATTTCATTAGTAACCTCCATGTGTGGACAACTTGATGGATTGCTGCTAGATGGCGTCGATTTTTTCAGACTAACTTTAAGGGCCTGTTCATATGGGCAGAAGTTATCCCAGTTAGCGAGAAAACTTTTCGACAAGTTTACGAGCGAGATCTCGCCTTGTTACGAAAATATGAAAAGTTACATTGCGTTCATATGAGACGAAAAGTTTTCCCGTGTACCGAGATCTCGATTGTTGACAGGCGAGACCTCGGTGACCGGGATAATGTTTTCCCCATATGAACACAACTTTCCCGCTTAGCGGGATAACTTTTTGTCGTGTCAGCAACTTTTCAATTCAATTGATGTTCAGTGCTACGTCAAAGCCGGAAACCTTTCCCGGTAAGTGGAATAATATTTCTCCATGCATATGAACAGAATAAAAGTATTTGGCTAGTCGAAAAGTTATCTCGTTAACCGGGATAAATTTTGCCCATATGAACTGGCCCTAAGGCAGTGGCGTAGCCAGCCCAACAATTTAGTCATGCTATGCAAATATTTTCGAGTTCACTGACCGTGAGAACAATCAATTTCTAAAGAAATTAATAATTTAAAATTTACATACCATGACCAAATTGTCGGGCTGGCTACGCCAATGCTTTAAGGATTACTATAGATGGCGTTGATTTTTGGCTAAAATTAGATGGCCGCAAGAAAGTTCAATTTCATTAACAACTTCCATGTGTGGAATATGTTTTTGAGACACCTAGAGAATTGACTTACGCAATATCTTGATGACAACGAGACACTTCATAATAGGATAAAAAGAAACCTTCCTGCTTGAGTCATAACTTTTTGTAGTAAAAATAAATCATCGTTGTTAACTTAAAATATTTTAAAGATTTTGCTCAGGTAGAGAAACAAAACTTTATTAATAAATAATAGGCAGAGTGCGACCATTTTTTATGAGCATTTTCATCAAGGCTTTGTTTACGTGTACGCTCATCACAAGAACATCTGGGAAAAGTAACCAAATGTAAAGCGGCCGATAGTGAATGTCTTTAAAATAAACATATTGTTCAAACGTATAATATACATCAACAGGTCTCCGCGTTAACTTTTATTATATAATAGAGTCCCGAACATATTTATTCCTGACAGGCAGAATATACGGGGGGAAATTAGTCATGTTTTCATGTTTTTTTGTGAATGATTTGGGTGAACATTTACATCATGAGACTAAAAAAACCCAAGAAACAGCGTTATTTTCTACCACTCTTTGGTTACAGAAGTTATATAATTTTCAATATTATGAATCTTAAAAAAATTGATATTTGTGGCCCCACCTAAGAGAAGCATGCCCCGTGAGGCGATGTAAAAGGAAGATACGTTTCGAAAACCAGAAATCAGACCTATATATAAGGACATAACGATTTTACCATCTGACAACTTGATAAAATATATCCACCCATACTTATAAACAATTAGAATGTCAGGGTCTACATAAATGGCAGTACCGATGCGATGTTGTAAAGGAAGATAGTGCCAGCAACCCTGCTGACAACTTGGGAAGTCAATGGAAGATAGCAAAAGGTTTTCACACAATTCGTCTTCCAAATCCAAAAATATGTGAGCCATATCGAACTTCGGGAATTCTGTGTGCCAGTTAAGCAGAACCAAACTACCCGATAAGTATCGCTCAACGTTCCAGTTGAACGTAATTCCCACCTGTTCTCACTTGCTATCTCCCACAACTGATAATCTGAACTGGATTTACGATACAAGAGAACAGCACACCCATCTGAACTTACTGCAACTGAAGTGGCATTGTAATTTGACTCAGGAATTTGTTGAGGATAAAGCATTTGGTTGCAAACTTTTAGAAGAGAAATTTCTTCATTGTCACTGAGTCGAATAACAAGTACACCTTTTGAAAATTTCAGGACACTTTGAAAATTTATAGCACATTCTTCAAGTTCATCCCCCAAGACGTTTCTTTGTGTTGAATTATAAGGATATTTTACCACCACTCCTTTACAAACCACCCAAAGATACAACTCTGACCACCAGCAAGCTTCCGGTGGTTGTTTCACTACAACAGTTTGCAATATTTTCCCATTATCAACACTTTTGATTTCCAAAATGCGATTT